TAATGAATTGTTTTGAAGTTATAGATGAAACAATCTTCCTGATGCACTGCAAAATAAGTGTACAAGTAAATATTCTTTGATGATAGACAGTACTCATTAATAAAGCAATTGTCCATGATGATTTTACTTTTATTGTAATGGGTACCCTCTATTGTATATGTAGTATAATTGTGGTAATTGTTCATGCAGCTGTAGTTGAGATATATAACATTATAAAATAATATAAGAGTCAATATTTGTTGAAAATGATCTTTTTCCTAAAATATTGACTTTTTGCCGAAACTAAAAATGTCCAAGATTTGGTTTAGTGATCTTACGCCCTCACATCATTCCTAACAAAAAAATACTTAAAAGAAAAAAAATCTAGCGGGAGGGGGAAGGGTATAGGTAGCACTTTCTTCATTGAAAGTTTGTTTTTGAATGTAATGCTCATCGCCGAAAACGAGATCGTCGAAACTGATGCCGAAACAAACATTGTCGAAAAGCAAGATCGCCGGAATAGCTATCATCGATATAAAGATCGCCGAACTTTTTTCGATGATCTCTATCAGATACATTCTTTCCGCGATTATTATTTTTGTTCGTTCATTCGATATGAATTGTATGCAGAGAGCGGCTCTTGTTCTATGTCATAAACATCATGACTTGCACCCAATTTTTGAGATAGATTGCCAGTTGCTCTTAGTTTCTGATCTGATTCCTAACTTAAATTAGTTTCTGATTTAAGTTAGTTTCTAACTCAACCTAAGCACTTTGATTTAACGCTTGTATGCCTCATCATCGAAGAAGAAGCACTGTCGATGACTACATTGTAGAAAAGGACATCGTCGAAAGTCATATCGCCGAAATGATAAGTTGACGGTTGCCACATTGCTGAAGCTATACTTCGTCGAAATACAGTTCGCCGAATATCGGCAATCTGTATTTCGGCGAAGAACATACTTCCGTTGTTTGTCTATTTGATTAAAAAAAAGCTTTTCGGTCCATTTCGTTTTATTTTCATTCATTATTCGATAAGAAATGTCTGTACGTATATAACCTAATAAAGTAAGTCCTTTCCATGCAGATCTTTGGTTGATTGATGGATCTTCTTCCTTTAAACCAACAGCTCATATACAATCAGTTGGTGAAGCTTCGACTAATACTTTATCGTTGTGTTACAAGAGAATCATTTTTAAATCTTCATTTTGTGTAAACTAAAAAATTGATCAAATAAGACATGTTAGTACAGTCCGTTCGAAATTAAAATGTAAAATAGGATTTAGCTATTGATATTTATCGCTAGAAAATAGTTGTATTCTATCTATTTTGAGACACATTTTTATATGATTCTTTTGTTTTACTTGATTCTTTCAAGAATGGAATAATGAAAC